TGACAGTGGCGGTCGCCGGGCAGCGGAGTCGGGAGCCGCGCGCGGAGCGCAGCGCGGGGAGCGCGAGCGGCTCGGGCGGCGGTGGCGGCGGTGGCCGGTCCCCGCCGGATCCGGCTGTGGGCGCCGCGAAGTAGCCCTCCGCAGCGGCGGCGGCGGCGTGCGGGCGATGCTGCTGGTCTCTCCGGGCGCCGGTGTCCTGGCCTCTTCCTAAAGGTACCCAGCCCCGCTCGCCCCCTCGCCCAGGGCACCGCAGCGCCCGGCAAGTGGCTTTGTGAAGCTCGAAGCTCCCCGGACCGAGGGGTGGGCTGGGAGCGGGGTGGGTGGGGCAGGGCGGGGCTGCGCGGTCCGGGCCGCTTTCCCCGTGAGGAAGAGGGTGGGGGCAGAGGGAAGCGGGGTTGGCGGGCGGGGTGGGGTGGGGTGGGGTGGGGAGGGGAGGAGGGCTGTCTCCCGGCAGCAGCTGGCTGCATCCCCATCGTCCATCCTCCTCCCGTCTCCATGTGCTTCGGAAAGAGGTTTTGTGCCAGGAGAAAGTTGGAGGCTGAGACTTGAGGAGCCAGACTCTGCGGCCCCTGAGGCCCGCACCCTTCAAGAGCGTGGGAGCACCCTGTTGGGAAGGTCTGGGTTCTGAACAGGGCCATGCAGGAACCCATGCCCCTGTCCGACCCTAGCAGCATTCCTGACGCAGGCCCTTGCTTGAGGAAATTCCTCTGTGGGAATCCCCCGTGGGGAGGGGCTTTCGCGTACAGAGCATCCACGACTCACACATTATTATCGCTTGAAAACAGTACTCTCTCCCCTAGATCGTTCTGTCCCCTAGAACGGGCGCCACCAGCATCTATGCTGTAAGAGCATCAAAAATTGAAGTCGGACCTCGAATTAAAGACCCCTAAACACCCATGTGTCCAAGGTGCCAATGATTACCTCTGTCAAATCTTGACTAGTTTCTTACTGCCATATGCTTCCAATCAGCTTTCCCTGAGAGCTGGGCGGGTGCTGTGGAGCACAGGAAAGGGAGGAGAAGTTACAGCCCGGCTGTTAGGGTGGGAGGTGGCAGCAAAGAATACCGAACACGTGTACCCACTTGAAGATAGGAGAAAGTTTCAACCTTCAAAATAAAGTGGGTTAGGTGGGGATTATTTGCTTTACAAAACTTCCTCTCATGCAGAGAAACGATTAGAGTTAGAACTGAGTTTTACACAAGATTGTGGCAACAGGCCTATCATCAAGTGGCTCAGAGTCGATTGAGGGGGTAATCAGGCCGGCACCACGTTGACTTGAAATTAGCAGATCTCAGCAAATATATGCAGATTCTGTTTAATTCTGATTAACCTGTCTGATCATATTGGTGGATTACCAGGTTTACTTTATTCATTTCTAACCAAGACATATTCACACCAAAACACAACTTCATAATACCATTTTGTGCCCTAAAGACGCCCTTAGCTAAGGATATGGACATCCTCTTCTGGTTCTTATGATTTATCCCCTACACCGGTAACATAACTTCTCTAAGTACGTTTACATCATAAAGAGAAGGAAACTTCCTTAGTGGTGACACAACAGTATCCAAATAAATACTGAGCACACATACTAAGTGTTTTTACCTATACAGTTACTTTAAATCTCACAGGCACCCTGATGAGATATTATTACCCTGTTTCAGAGACTAAGGAGATTATGTAAAGTTGCCCAAGATAATGCGGGAAGTAAGTGATAGAGGTGGGATTTGAACCCGGATCTGTTTGATTCCTTACCCGTGCTCTTTACCACTACCCAGCCCCCTTGAAAGAGAATTGCCATTTTATAATATACTAGGAAATCAAAATATGGCAAATGCTATCTCCACTGGCTTCCTGGATCAAACCCCTTCATAGATTGTTTTGTCCCTCTGGGAACCCAATACTGCGTCCAACAAGTATTCCTTTCACCAAAGGGCAACATCAGGAACTCCCCGGACACCCTCTAAGCACCAGTCCCCAGCATGTAAATCAGATGGAAATCTCCAGACATCTAAACCCCTTGTCCCTTCAGAGAAGTTGGCTCTGGAAGACAGGTAATCAAGTGTTTCTCTCACTGCCACTTAAGGAGCAATCTCTACCCTCTCAGTCATCCAAGTCTGGTTTAGCTCTGCACATATAAGAACACACCACCAGTTGGCAGGAATACATCCCCTGCAGTGTTCACACTGGCACACTCATCTTCCTGTACCAACTGTCAGAGA